TTGTTACTACTGCAGGAGCCAATCAGAGTTTTAGTTTTCCTGTGTGATTGTGATATTTAGTGTACACGCTCACTTCAGCTGTGTGTGTCATGTGTGTGGGGTGGTTGTCTATTTAGTGCACGTGTGTCCATTTAGTGTGTGCGCTTGGGAAGGAACTTTCTGTTGACCGCATGTTTTCCATCAGAGAAATATCTGCACTGTCTTATTGAGGCATCTTCATCATCATCATCATCATCATCATACATAACAACATTCCCAGTAAGAGCCAGATCCATTTCTACTCTCCGCAATTAACTTCATAAAACTGTGCAATTGCTCTGTCTGCGCGTCATCAGTTTCAACCCCCTTGCTTAGCCCGGCTGGCGTCATGGATTAAGTTTTACCCTCCCATACGCCACTATCACTATACTTTGTTAAAAAAAAAAATGTGGATCTGAAAACGTGTAACACATTTCTGCAGCTTGTTCCTTCAAAGGATCAGGTCGTGACACAGAAACCACTATAGAACATGTGACTAATGTTCTCTTCAACTATGTAGGGTGAGGAAATGTCGATATCACACATAACTTAAGTTATGTACCTGATATCGGAGAATTGGATCAAAAACAACCATGTAATAAATACAATAATTGATAATAGCTTTATTTAGGGGCACCAGGGAATAACTCCCAACTGATAACGTGCATATGACGTCACAATATCAATTAATTGGCTCATTTATTGATTAAGTAATCTCATGAGTCCTTTCATTATTTAATTAGCTAGTTAGTCCAATTCTCTTCAATAGAATCTGAAGGTAGTGAATTCTTTTACAAATCAGTGACCCAATTTCTGGAGTTAAAAGTACAAATATCACTTTCAGACAAAGATGGTTTTGTAGATTTAATGAAGTATACACAATACAGACTAGATATGAAATATGCAAATTGTCAAGAATAACATGAAGGAAACGTTGATTTCAAGATACATTGTTAAAATGCTAGGCTAAAGTGAGCTAAGCAAGACCTTTGTCTTTGAATGGATTGGTATAGGCTGAGGCCTGCATGTGTTCAGCCTTGGTAAGAGAAGTATTCTTTGAAGTATAGGTTTTAATAAAGCCAACAACTGTGTGTAGCAAGAGAGCAGATCATACAACCATCAAACAGCCTTTGGTGAATAGCAGTCCTTGGGTCTTGGATGGCGTTGGATGGAGGCTTCTTGTCCCCAGGGCCTGGACCATGCGGCTGCATCATGTGGTCCTCCCACGATCCACAGTCTAGGTGCCAAAAATCAGCAACTTCTTCAGGTTGAAGCTGGAGGCTATTGAAGGGTTGTGGAAGTCCTCTCAAACGTAGAGCTGAGGTTTGAGGCCATCTAAGAGGTCCAAGGCCCCTTGGTTGCCTAAGCAGAGCCCAGGGCAGAGCCCAGGGAGGTCTCGTCACTCCGTGGTTCCAAAGCAGACTGGGTTGTCTTCCCTTGTTGTAGAGTCGTTGGGGGAAGGGTGTTGCCATGGCACTTATCTTAAAACATTCTTGCCCACAATAAACCTGAACCACAAGGATTTACACACAGTTGAGACAGAAGTTATAATGTGTCTCAATATACAACAAAATGTCTTTGATTGAGGAAAGAGGTCATTTTAATTTATCCTACAACCCCCCCCTTTGTGTCCAGCTCCGCAAACAAAGCGAGAGGTTGACACAACACAATTTTGATTATGACCGATGACGAACGTTCACTGTCCAAGTTCTTTACGGGGCAGAGCTCTCAGCAGGAAGTAGAGCTCTCAGTAGGAGGCGGAGTTCTCAGCAGGAAGCAGAGCTCTCAGTAGGAGGCGGAGTTCTCAGCAGGAAGCAGAGCTCTCAGTAGGAGGCGGAGTTCTCAGCAGGAAGCAGAGCTCTCAGTAGGAGGCGGAGTTCTCAGCAGGAAGCAGAGCTCTCAGTAGGAGGCGGAGTTCTCAGCAGGAAGCAGAGCTCTCAGTAGGAGGCGGAGTTCTCAGCAGGAAGCAGAGCTCTCAGTAGGAGGCGGAGTTCTCAGCAGGAAGCAGAGCTCTCAGTAGGAGGCGGAGTTCTCAGCAGGAAGCAGAGCTCTCACTAGGATGCGGAGTTCTCAGCAGGAAGCAGAGCTCTCACTAGGATGCGGAGTTCTCAGCAGGAAGCAGAGCTCTCAGTAGGATGCGGAGTTCTCAGCAGGAAGCAGAGCTCTCAGTAGGAGGCGGAGTTCTCAGCAGGAAGTAGAGCTCTCAGTAGGAGGCGGAGTTCTCAGCAGGAAGCAGAGCTCTCAGTAGGAGGCAGAGTTCTCAGCAGGAAGCAGAGCTCTCAGTAGGAGGCGGAGTTCTCAGCAGGAAGTAGAGCTCTCAGTAGGAGGCGGAGGCGAAGTTCTGCTGTAATAGAGCTCTATTGCTTATGTCACAGAGTTGGCTTTTAGTTTGTCCTAACTGTGTTTGAGACAATGCCAGGAGTTTTATAGCTAAGTCTGTGTGTATGCTCTATCTAGAGTTCACTGGAGTGGTTTTATTCAGATTAACTGGTAAGAATATTTGTCTGAGCTCTTCCATTCTTTGATGGAGATAGCTAAGGCTATGGTAATAGCTGGAGGCAAAGATGCTTGTATTAGCTAATGCTAGGCTAGTAGTTGGAAGCTAATATCTGTAGCTATATGCTGTTATAATTGACAATAGAGAATGTATACAATTTAATCTTCAAACAATTTGGAGTGTTATTGAGGGAGGATACTTTCACTGAGACAATTCAACGTGGAGCCAAGTCTTACTGGCTTGCTTTTGCCGCAATAATGACTGTTATTTGAGCATAGATTTTCCTAGAAAAGTGACTTTGAATC